TTTTCTACAAGTTTGTCTATCTAATCGACTGGAAGTACATTAGTATTCACGACAACTTATGCCTATTAAGGTAGTGATTTTTTTCATCTACTACATTTATCGACTAGGAAGGAAATCAAGTAGTTAATTCAGAAGGTGAGTGACTGATGGTTGTGCAATGATAGGTTGCTTCACGGTTAGTTTCACTCGTCTTCAGTGCGCTTCTGTACAAGAGTGAATGATTCCATCTAGAGCTTCAACATGTAAAACACTTCACACGAAGAACGGAAAACGATGCTAAAAATCTTTACCAATATATCAAACACGGAATTCACTAGCACTGACATGGTTTTAAAGCTAATAAATATTTATAAACGAAACAGAAATGTGATCAATCCACTTACGGTGCATCGCTTTCGGCGTCTACGTTTCTTCTTAGTATTCCGGTTGATGGGATTCCTTATAGCGGTATGTGCACCGAGAGTTGGCTTTCGTCTCTTCGTTGGGGCCGATTGAGCTAACATAAGACGGGAAGCACCAACAGCCTGAAAAACAGAAAACAATGATGATAGAAGCATTATCTCGGAAAATGATTAATTAGTTTACATCGCGTACGGTCGGTTGCATTTCCAAAACACAAAATACACGGTGAAAGGACATTTGCGGCTATTAATATAATTAGTATTCCCTTGGGTTCTGGGTGGTATACAGGGTTTCAGCTGCATATCTCTCCATTCTACTCGCTTTTACACAATTCAGTTCAAATGGACCCCTGAGCGCCTGCAATCTTTCGTTTCCTCCTTACATGATTCATGTCACTGTTGGGGATGTCTAACTTCACATTTCTGCTAACTTGTTGGTCTTCAACATCATAATTCAGAATTCGTGTGATAAAAGGACAAATCACCCGTGAAATCTAGATGTCGTATGGTTTGTTACAATGTGGAATATATGGCTATCTTACCAATCCTCACAGTCTGCAGAACGATCCGGTCCGCCACACTCAGGAACATGGTCGGCAATATCAGGTAGTTGTGTCTTACTCCTATCTTCACCCGTACAGGTTTCCCTGAGCTTTTGTTGAGAATCATTTGGGATGCGGTAACAGTATCACATAGCTGATGAATAATGTTTATGAACGTGATCGAGGACTTTATGGTAATCTGATAATAATAATAATTATGTGAATCACCATTCTTTGACAGTTTCACAACGTAGTCTTTCTCCCAATAGCCAGGCGCCTACCTCCCCTTGCTCCCACAGCTCATGCGCAGCTCATGGCGTGAATATGTCCACTGAGATGAGCTACTTTACCCGTATTCCTTGCTTCTGGCGGCGTTCTATCTGATTCCGTTACTTTCCTCTGTGTGCACGTGTGTGTGTGTGTGTTAGTTACTGCGTGGCATTTAAGACTTCTGGCTTTGGTGGAGATTCGGTGTTCACTGGTAGTTCTGTGTCTTCTGTTGGTTCTTCTGTACGAGTTGTAGGTGGGGGTTAATTCGAGAGTTCTTTCAAGTGATCAGCTCAAACTTTCCTCTGTTCGAACTCCTCGATAATTGGCCTTCCTTCACTTTATTTCAATGACTTCATCTGAGTTGATCCCATCCTGGATAGCCATTTGATCATATGACACAGCGAAACTCACAAATTCTACACCAACGCTTTTTTCTATAGTGAGGAAATTCTGAAATGATTTGATATTCCACCAAGAATGCAGTCACTCTGTAATGTTTCGCTGAATTACTTTTTCAACACATATTAGGTTTCTTCTTGGCAGACAAAACATTCACTAAGCATTGGATCGCATTATTGACGCAAAATTGAGAATTAGTCTGGAATTATTGTAAGCTTGTTCAAAGGTCTTTGAAAGTTGTTTTAATGGTTGTCATATATATGCGGAAATTCCCGAGTGAAAGAAATTGGCAGAATGTCAAAAGCACTTGTATATTTCAACGGGAAACTAGTGAACGGAGGAGTGCAGTCAGCAGGCGCGTTAACACATAGCGACCTTGGATGGAGCAACATAAGCACTGCATGAGTTTTAATGGCGATACTGACTTAAACAAACCCGTGGATGACTCATCTTCAACTATACCCAGGTAGACGTCATTAGCGGTAGGTCTTAGCAGTACCAACACTTTTGAGCTGATACTTATACAGTTTTATAAAACTATATGTCACACAAGACTACAGGAATATGGTGTTTTACTTCTCCCACCTTTCCTCACCCTTTTGTCCATGAATGTGGCTAAACCAGGATGCGTTTGCCGAACAACTTACATAACTCATTCATTCAAGCTTGGATATCGCGACTAACGGAGTGTGAGAAAAAACGCAAAACTTGACACAGTATCACATGGAAAGATATGAGTGTCTTGGACATTATTCCTACTTCACCCACTAGTCTACTATCCGAAAAGAATGCAGTGATATTTTAACCATAGTGACGAGGAATTATGCAAATCCACGATTCCCGTTGGTACAACTCGAATTCTTAAACCTTCCCAATATCGAGTATGTACTCAATGGTGGTAGAAGTCCACGAAACAATGCATTCAAAGCATATGTATACTTCTCATGATCACAGTGATTGCCTGCAGAATATCTCAAGATTATAGAGAAATCAAACGCCACACGAGATGGAATTAACTAAATCCGCACGGCGAACGAGCTGTAGTACACATCTGGATATTTATTCACAGCTCATCATGTTGACAAATCCATATCACTACCTGTGCAACACCAATAAACCTGATTGTCTAAGAAGTAGTGAAATATGCTGACAGTTGTGTTTTGAACCTCGCTGGGTCATTGAATGGTAATATTCCGCTCCTGCACGCATCATTTTATCATTTTGTATGGATTAGTTCGCAATCATTCTGGTTCCTGGACGAAATGAATTCAAAAATTCACCGGTTGCTGGTTATGGTGATTTATCAATGCTTCTTTATATGTTCAACTGGACACTAACTGCTGCGTTTAGCCGCTTGTAGATGATATTGCTGCGAACATTATTGTCAGTTGTAGGGGAATGTCTAGCGAGCTCAATAACATAACAAGTATGTGAATAAATATCCAAGTTAATGAGATGATAGTGTAACAGTATATTATGAAATATACTGCTATATTCATTTAACGGTTACTTGGATATTCAGTTAAAGTCCACGGTCACAAATTACTAATATAATCCACAGAAGCGTTCACTACTGGAATCGTGTCTACTGGTAAAAGCTATGTACCGGTTGTATAATTGTCTTCGGACGAGGATAAGAGGTTCCTGCGAAGATTCAAAGTATACAACACGGTTATGAGTGGAGCAAGTAGACAGTATAAACAAGCGAGAAGACGGGACGACGAACAGCACACTGTATTTTAGACTGTACTCGGAGGTTATCTGTATTCCAAAATGAATTGTTTTAATCAAAAGTCATGTACAATGCCTCCGATTTCAACATCTGACATAGGAGTGTACAATCATATTGTTACGTACTCCACACGGTAAACTAACGCTTTGCAAGCTGGTTTTCTACTTTTGTGAATAGCCTACGTTATCTACCACTTGTGACGCAAACTTTAGTTTTTACGCACACCTTCGCCTAATTCACACAATGATGTTGCCTAGGATTATGTCATGTATATTGTTTTTACTTATGTAAATTGTGCTTACTGACATTATTCCATTACATTTTCTGGCGTATGTATATATATAAATATATATAGATGACTGAACTGGCAATGGATAGTGGCACACACGACCTTATGGAGAGGTTGAGCACTTCAAGGGCACTTTTGCGTGTTGTGGTTGGTGATTTCGAGTTGGCGTATACGTGGCGGCAATACGTAAGTAGTGTAAACCGCTGAAAAAGGCGTGAAAGTTGTGTTTTGGTTGATGACTGACGAAGTGGTTGATGTATTTAACCGCATATTGAAGTGTAACCATTTTGACACGTGGGATGCATTTGAGACTGCCTTTAAAGAATTCAATAATCTTGCGCATACTCATTATGTTTGAGAAGCAGTTGTGTAGATAGCATTAATCGTATTCTTCGTTACAAACGTGTAAGTTATGTGTGTACCTTCGGTCAAATACGGTGAAGTCGGTCTAAAGGAGTTAGGCCTGGAACACCGTAAGTGTATATGTGAGTTTTTAGTCTGTGTTTTATAAGTTCTAAGTGTATGGGTTGTACATCGAGTTTCTGTGTTAATTCAGTTAATAGACGCCTGGAAGTAGGTGATGTGAAGGGTGTACATAATCATCCTTGTACAAAATAATTTATGATGGTGGACTACAGCAGACGTTGGTTAACGGAGGAGGAGAAGACTGAAGTGAATTGTATGGTTAAATATATGATATCAACTGCTGAACTGAGGGATGCAGTTTTCTCGAAATTCAGAAAATATCTAACGCGAAAAGATGTTTTAAAATTGAGAGAAGTGTTTGGAGGTCTACATATTACGAAATAATTGGTTAACGTCATTCTAGGTATGAAAAGTATGGATGAAGTTCTGCAGCTGTTAGCATCAACAGGACAAATTCGTACAAAGACTGCAAATGGAGAGATTGATGTCGTATGTTTCAGCCTGCAGCAACAAATTTAGTTTTTTTCAGAGTTTTCCAGAAGTAATTTGCATTGATTTGACGTACAAAACGAATAAGCTTGGGTAAGTTACTGATACTGGTTTACTGTCTGAAGTTTCAGTCTTTTTCCGTTAGTCGCCACATATGGGTGTGGAAATGGTGCTTGTGTTATGTTTGCTTTTTGTAAGAGGGAGACAGTGTTCGATGTCACGTTTGTCCTGCAGATGTTTGAATCCATTATGGGATGCACCGATATAACGAAGATGTTTGTAATGGATAATTGTCAGGCGGAAATATCTTCGGTGCAACAAGTGTTTCCACATTGCAGGATAGTCCTTTGCTCATTTCATGTGCTGCGAGCATTTGGTCGGAAGGTTTGTGCCTATAATTCATCATTACTGCGTAGTTTTGGAATAGTGACATATGGTTCGCACTACGAAGAATGCTTTCAACGCGTTTTAGAGAAAGGTAAGTGATGTCTGAGTTACGAATTTGTTAATTCTGAAGATTTGACTATTATTACAGATTACTTCAGGATAAATTCACTCAAGCATACCAATATTTAAATGGACAATGGATGAATAATAGGAGAATGTGGGCTAGATGCTTCAGGAGGAAACAGATGACGTTGGATAACGGAACGAACAACAGGGTTGAGAGTGCTCATAAGCACTTAAAGTTGCACCTTCGGCGAAACGACCCACTAGTGCTAACCATGTGGAAAGTTAATAACAGGGCGAAAAAGTATTGGCGTCTAAGACAGTACAATACAATGTTTAATTTATAGACATTTTTCAATATGATGTAAGTAACACTTCATTATTAGACGCTTTGTAGGTTCCGGAAGTAATTCAAATGCACTTAGACAAATTGACACCTTATGCCGGGAAATTAGTATTCAACAGTTACCGAAGGGTTGAACGCATTCATCACACTGTAGTAAGCAGCGACATAATTGAATGCTATGATGGAGTTGCCTTCAATCTTGTGGACATTTCCAGGGGAGTGTGTACGTGTCATCAATTCCATGATTATCATCTACCTTGTTCCTACATCCTGTATACCTACACTGTGGGATTGTTCACTGGAGGTAAGTTTAATTCAAGCAGTTTACATGCATATACCATTAGATTTACTGCAACACAGCCGAAGGTGGTCGCGGGAGTACAACTTTCATGTTTGCATGGAAACAGTGGAGCGCGTTCCAGAAGCCTATGATGCAGATAACTAATGACCTTTTTTTACTTGAACTATTTTTGTACTACACCTTTTTAATATACATATTCTCAATTTACCGTAAATACATACATTCCTATTGACTCAGTGTATTTCTTTCCTTTATCACGTCGAAGATGCATTATTCTTAAAGAGAATTCTAGGTGACGTATTAATCCTCTCGTAAAATGCTGTCAAACTCGTAAGCCGTTATTAGTCCTTAGGTGCGTGCAACATATCATTTGCATTTTATCCGATTGCGTATGGTATAAGTAGCCATTAGTGTTAAAAAAGGAATCGCGTAAAACATGTGTTTGTATTGTAATAACGAAATACAGTTACCCTTTTATAAAGCACAATCAAAGTGGTTAGCCATTATTACTCCTTATATGCGCGCAAAGATCAACTGTTTCCTAAGTCCGACTGCGTGAAAGATTAGCTTTCATCAGCGCTACCGGAAAATTATACCTTTAGCTTATGTTTCTTATGAGATCACTGCATATGCACAATAACAAATGTAGGACGGCTACGTACATCGAAAATAACGTATTATAGGTATATCCAATTTAACATAATTATCCTAGTATTCTTCTACTGTGCAAATTATTGTTCTTTCGAATTAATTACAAATTCGAAAAATAGCTACATCACTATCCCTTAGACAAGCAAAAAAGTAGTCGTGCAAGAATACTGTTAAAACTTTTAGGAAATATTTATTTTGAGAAAGAATTTTATAACATCACAAAGATTCCAACGTTAACACGAAAATTCTTCAAAATCACTTCATCAAAGCTCTCAAATCAAGCGAACCATCACAATTGTAACCTGAAAACCAACAACACCGATAATTCTGTTAGCAAATACTTACCAATACAAAATTGCTAAAAAGCAAAGGACATCTCAGTAAAAACCTTGTTTCTTCAGTGTTATGTTACGAATAAATCAAGTAACATTCCCTTATACCTGTAAACTCTCCTGATTGTAACCACATTTTCAGAACTCAGAGATTCAAAGCACCGCTTCGGAATTTCGCAAAATACACTTCATTTACCTAATTTATTTCGTTTTTATTAACGTAATCAACAATTGACACGGAATTTTAACATTCCACATGCAAAGAAACAACGACATTCGATGAAAAATACGTGTTCACTCAAACTGCTGAAAAACGTCTACTTTCCACCATTTTTCTAAGTTTTTTCGCCAAAATATGGTATGTATAATGTATTTCAGTTGAAAAAACACCTGAAAACAACGTAGAACAACCCAAACACAAAATCACGATAACACATAACGACACTCCGTGTGTGCCTCTATCCATTGGCGGCTGAACTAAAGCAGCCCAAAGGAAACTACCTCGTGAACAAATTGATGACCTTGACGAATTATTATCCTATGTAGCCATTTTTAACATTGCATTACCTGTATATAGACGTTGCATTCAAATCGCGCACTTCTACTTCTTGCCAACTTGATTGGTCGCTGGAGATATTTTCGTTTTGGTCTTCCGTAGTTTACAGTCACAATATATATATACTGTGTAGGTTAATAATTGTAAATATGCCCGCCTCATGTATGTAATTATTATCATATTGATGATGTCTGTAAACTCACATCGCTCATCAGATTGAGATTTCAGATATATTAGTTGAGGATAGAAGGCTTGGAGCCTATGTCAATCCTTTTCTGGTGAATTTCTGTGCTTGTCCAAACCTTTCTTGGATGAATGAGTTGCGCCTGCAGACACCACTTCTTCTAGGAGTCGGTTCCAAAGGTTTATGACTCAGTGTGAGAAGCAGTACTCCATAGCAAAATGGTTTCTCCTTGGCTTTTGAACTCTCCTGCTATGTCCTCTAAGGTGTTCCGACCCAGTGGGGGGGGAAAAAAGAGAATGGATCGGGTTCGTAGTCATTATTTAAAGTTTTAAACATTGTAATTAAATCTCCTCTCTGCCTGCGGTATGACAGGGAGAAGAGATCTAAACTGTCTAGCCTTTCCTCGTATGATAGATTGGTCATGCCAAGAATAATGCACGTTGCCTTCTTTTGGGCCCTTTCTAGAATATGTGAGTGTCCTTTAGGACAAGGACTGGCTGCCTGGATACAGTTTGCTGGTCTTAACCTCATCAGAGATGTATATAAGGAAGTGAATATATCTCTGGTGATTCTAGTAAAGGCTCCGCTAATTGACCATAAGGATCTGAAGCTACGTGAAGCCACAACGCAACATTGTGCTGTAGTTTTTAAATCGTGACTTACTACGACATCTTAGTCGAAATGAGTCTCAACTGACGGCAGTGTTATTCACTCTAGTTTGTAGTGGCTGGTGCTTGCGTACCCGATGTGCATGGTTGCACATTTCGCTACATTGATCGGGAGTATCTATCCTATGGACCAGTTTGACGATCTGTTAAGGTCCTCTTGCAGAGTGAGAGTATCACTGTTGCCCTTCAGCTCTCTCTAGATTTTTAATTCATCTGCGTCCAGGACCATTGGGGAATCGGTGAGCAGAGATAACTCATTGACATACAAAATAAATAGGAGAGGTTCTAGTGCCACGCCTCGTGGTATACCGCTACGCGCTTCTGTCCAGGAGCGGAGTTTCGAGCTGACCCTGTCTCTCTGCCTCCTATCTGTGCGGAATTCCCTAATCCAGTTCAGTAAGCTGCCTTTGATACCAAGTCTTTCTAACTCCATGAGTAGTCTTTTGTGGGGAACTTTATCGAGGACTTTTATGAATTCTATGAATACAATGTCACCGGATCTTCACTTGTCCCTCAGTTTGACTCAGCTTTCTCTTCCAGCGAGATTTTACAGGTATGGGAGGGAGAGGTTCCGTCGGAAGCCATACTGTGCTCAAGATAATAAATTGCTGTTTTCCAGATATGCCGTGATACGTTTCCTGGTGATTCTTTCCAGTGTCTTGATTAAAGTGCTGGTTGGACTAATGGGCTTGTAGTTTGAAGGGCTTTATCTTGATCCTCCTCTGTGGATGGGAGTTACTTGGCGTCTTCCCAGTCACGTAGCAACACTCCATTTAGGAGAGATAGCTTGAAGATCGTGGTCAATGGGCCGGCTATGGGAGCTGACAGCTCCTTGGAAAGCCTTGGATGAAGACTTTCAGGACCCATTGATTTTTCTGCATCCAGTTTCATTAGGCAGTTGAGCATGATGTCTTGGTGTCCATCCCGTGTTCCTCTGATGCAGCTAGAGCTGATCCTATGGCAGTGATGACTCCTGTGCAAAGACCTCGGTGAAGTAGTCTGCCATTGCTTCTACCTTTTTTATTGATCTTCGATTTTGTCATTGTCAATAGTCAGGTTTGGAACACCATTGTATGTTCTATTCCCGAATTTCATGTACGGGTGAATTTTCTTAGGTTTTGCCTCTGTATAGTGAGCCAGATGCACTTCGAACTTTATGTTTAATTGGCAGATTAATAATATATATATTTCCTATCTATGATTTCTGCAACGTCTTTGTTTTAAGCGGTGTTGCGAAGTTTCCTGGTCTCAGGAGTCACAACCGTGGCACGAGGGTTCCAATATTTGTGTTTGGGTCTGAGTAACTTACGAATTGCTCGGTTTATCCAGAGGGGAAATGTTCCCGACGCTTTGGGACAGAACAAGGGATGAAAGTTTCAGTTACTTAGGCGTAAAGTTGTTTAAATTGGTTCCATGCGGCTTCAACTTAGGACTCTGGGTTGACGTACCAGTTCACTGAGTTGGCTGCTGAGACAATCGCATATATAGCATATAGCAGCTTTTCAAACATTTAGTCAAGCTGGGGTTTTGGCCCATGAAGCTGCTGCTGTGAACTTGAAGGTGAGCACAGCTTGATCACTTCTTCCTAAAGAAGGAAGTGTTGTATGAGATCCACATCCTCACCATAGGAGAACATCGGGTCCAGAGTTGAAGAGGAGTGCTGTAAGGCATAGCGCGTGGGTTTAATTACACGTCGGACTAGGGCTAGCGAAATACTAGATTCCAGAAGTTTATGATCAAAGGAGTTGTCTGAAGATGGCGTTGTAAGGTCTGTCCAGTCAACCGTTGGGGCTTTGAAGTCGCCGACTATGGGACTCCGAAGTTTCGATGTCCAAGAGCCTAGCTTCTACAGTAGAAAACCATCTGCACTGCGCTATACAACAACGAGGTCAATATCTCTGCTTATGCATCTAAGTTCGCAACGTAGAAGTTTTCACGATTCACTTTCGTGAGCGAGTGCTTCGGTGCCACGCACAGTTAAGCATTTTTGAGGTGGATGACTACGCCACCTCTTTTTCGGCTTAGTCGCTCCACCCTGCGCACTTTGAAGTTTAGCAGGTGTCGTTCGCTTGATTCTAGATCCGCATACTGGCTTTTGATGCTGTCTGTTGGGCATAGGTCTGCACGGATGTATACGCCTGATACTTTAAGAGTTTGGGACTTGCTTAGAATGGCACCCGTCTCTCCTATGGAGCTTAGTACAACTTTAAGAAGGCGTACTGGCTGATTTATTGTCAAGTCGGGGTTTTGGCTGATTCTAAATAAGCTATGTATGGTTATGCCTGATACTGTTTTTGACAGTAGCTTCTCCGAGAGGGACTTGACCAGGTTAAGGTCATGCTCGAACCCGACATTGGGATTGCACGCCGGTGATTCCTCCACCCTGTGGAGATTGAGTGGCTTTCTTGTTCTGCAACGTAAATGTCTTTCCGTCCTACATGGATGGTATAACCGTTATTTTGTCCTTATCTCGCTTTTGGCGACGGACTACATAACGCCAGTCATCGGCGTCCTCCTCGCTAACCGCAGTCGATTGTTTCTGCCTACTATTCACTGGTGTGAACCAGGCTTGATGTGCAAGTCCCTGAGTGACTTTAGCTGCAGGTTTTTGACCCCTTGTAGGCCTCTTTTTCCCGTAAGTCTTTCTATTACTGTCACTGGAGGGCTTATACGGTATCGTGGGGGCAGCATATGTGTCGGGAATATAGTGGGTGCTCTTTTGTGCTGAAAGGAACTCACTTTTTGACAGAGAA